TACTTTATTTTGTAGTATATAAACTCATTGTAATTTATTTTGCCCTATGTTTGGAGGCTTGTACAATTGGTTTTTCTTCCTCCATCTCTTGGTTCTTCTCTTTTGTTTGATTTATCGAATTAGTTTGTATTATTCACATGGTATCAGAGCGAATTCATAGCTGGGTCTTTAATTTCTTCTGGTTTTGCTTCAGTCAGTGCATTGAGTGATCTGCCTGTCACCCTTTCGTCTCTCCTTTCAGAAACCGACTGGGAATTACAAAAAGGGGAAGCTGCCGGCTGAAGTGGGTCTCTTTTGGACTTGTTTTGGGGGACTACTTTGGGGAACACTAATTGAAAAAGACACAGGCAGCAATAGAGAAGGGGTAGCTGCCGGCTGGATTTTACAAAAAGGGAGAAGCTGCCGGCTGAAGTGGGTCTCTTTTGGACTTGTTTTGGGGGTCTACTTTGGGGAACACTAATTGAAAAATACATAGGCAGAAATAGAGAAAATAATTCCAATTTCTTGTGTAATAATTCATCGTTGTAATTTGTGGTGGTACGTTGATTGTCGTTGATTTTTTCTTAGAATTGGGTGATTTCTTTGATTCGTAGTTGATTTTTTGTTAAATTTGTGATGGCAACTAAAAGAGAAGATTCACTTCAATCCATTAGTGTTAGATTAAATGGTAAAAATTATTCATATTGGAGTACAGTGATGAGAATTTTCTAAAAGGAAAAAGATTGTGGGGGTTGTGTTAGTGGAACTGTTGTGAAACCCAAGACTACTGTTGATAATTATGTGACAGAGTTGAATAATTGGAAATCAAATAATGCGAAAATTCTTACTTGAATTTATAATTCTGTTGAGCAATCAATTGTACACAGTCGGCCAAGTTTGAAACAGCAATATCATATAATTAGATATAATATTATTATATAATATTTAATTTCCTTTTTTAAAAAACAAACAAAAATTTCACCAACAAAAATCAAATGTGTATTAAAACCCAAAATATTAAATTACGATCTTAATCTATCTATTTCACTGACGTCAAGTAGATGAACATCACTGTGGACATCACAAATCCAAAGAACGAGAGAACGATAAGAAAGAGAACATAAAAGTTCATATCCATAGCTTGTGCAATTCTTCTTCTCCATGTGCAATGTGGCACCTTCCTCCAGTCACATGTTGTTGGATTTAGCAAAGCAGTTTTAGAGGTTCTTAGCCACACGTCAACATGCTATGTCAGCCTCTACTCATATAGATTTGTCAGCTTGGAGTCATTTAAGTATTTCTTCCTCATGGATCTTTGCCTCAGGTGCTTCCAAACACATGTTGTCTAACTCAAAAAATTTTAATGACTTGCATCATTCTAACTCGTCTATGTCTATTATGACTGCTGATGGCATACCATTGCCTTTAGCAGGTGTTGGTTATGTTAACACACATAATTTATCGCTTTCAGATGTCTATTGTGTTCCAACTCTTATTTGGAATCTTATTTTTATTGGTCAATTGTGTGATTTTAGATATTTAGTTCAATTTTCTTCTACTTCTTATCATGTACAAGATCCTCGATCTCAGAAGCTGATTGGAATAGGCCGTAGACAAGGAGAGCTATATGTTCTGGACAATCTGAGACACCACACATTGCAACCTCTGGTATTGATTTGTCATCTTTCTGTTTGAATTCACCGTCTTCTAGTTTTTATTTGTGTCATTCTCGCCTTGAACATGTTTCCGCTAGTTGTTTGAAATTTTTAGTTTCTAATGGTCAATTGGGAGATTTGCAAACTCGTGACATTTCTAATTGTAGTGGTTGCAAATTAGTTAAATTTTCTGCTTTACTTTTTCCTCGAAATGTTTCTCATTCTGTTGCACTATTTGATCTTGTTCACTCTGATGTATGGAGACCTGCTCCTATTGCTACAAAATGAGGATCTAGATATTATGTATCTTTTATTGATAATTATAGTCGTTATTTTTGGATTTATTTTATAAAATGATGATATGACTTTCTTTCTGTTTATCATTCTTTTATAGCACTTATTAAAACTCAACATTCTTTTGTAATTAAATACTTTGGATGTGACTTGGGTGGAGAATATACTTCGGTTGATTTCTCTGAATTGCTTGATCTTGATGGCACGATTCATAAAATTTTGTGTACTAATACCCCACAGCAAAATGGTGTTGCTGAATGAAAGTATAGGCACATTGTAGAAACTGCTCGTTCTCTTCTCTTGTTTGCCAAAGTCCCCAATGAATTTTAGGAAAAAGCAGTTATCAATGTCGTTTCTTTAATTAATAAGATTCAATCTTCTCAAACTTCAGGTTTATCACCCTTTGAAACATTGTATAGGTAGCCTCCTCATTAAGAGTCTTTGGTTGTACTTGCTTTAATCTTCGTCCTGAAGTCGAACGTAGTAAGTTGACATCTCGCTCTGCTATATGTATTTTCTTGGGTTATGGGCTGAGACAAAAGGGTTATCGCTACTTTAATTCCATTAATAAAAAGTTATATGTTTATTGTCATGTCGTATTTCTTGAGCAAATTTCATTCTTTTCTATATCTGATAATACTCATGACATGACTAAAACTGATCTTATTCGTATTGATCCATTCTCTGATAACATTGATAGACCTTCCCATACTCCATGTACTGTTGATTCTTCATGTCCTACATGTAAACATGCGCCGGTTCATGATATCCCTTTTTCCTTCTGTGGCCACCCAAGCACCGTATGAGATCAATGATACAGCTCATGCTCCCTCTCTTCCTCGATATCCTCAACATATTCGTAAGTCAATTCAATTACCTGATTTTGCTTATTCGTGTTATTCAGATTCCTTTTGTTGTTTTCTAACCTCCATTCACAAGCTATCTGAACCCTCTTCGGATAAAGAAGCTAGTTTGGATCCTTTTTGGCAACATGCTATGGCTGATGAACTCTGCTCTACATAAGACAAATACTTGGGACTTGGTTGCATTGCCTTCAAGTAAACATGCTATTGGTTCTCGTTGGATTTATAGTATTAAAACCAAATTTGATGGTTCAGTTGAGCATTACAAAACTAGATTGGTTGCTAAGGGTTTTACTCATCAATATGGTCTAGATTATGAGGAGACTTTTGTTCCTGTTGGCAAAATGACCACTGTTCGTACACTTATTGTCATTACATCCGTTCGTTAGTGGAGTCTCTCTCAGTTGGATGTCAAAAATGCTTTTTTGAATGGAAATCTTCAAGATGAGGTTTATATGGTTCCTCTTCCTGGTCTTTTTCACTCTCTTGGAAATGTTTGCAAGCTTAAGAAGGCACTTTATGGCTTTAAACAAGTACATCGTGCCTGGTTTGAGAAATTTTCCACTGTTGTTACCTCTCTTGGTTTTACATCAAGTCATCATAACTCTGCCCTATTCTTTAGATGCACTTCAGCTAGTCGCATTTTATTTTTGATATATGCTGACGATATGATTATTACTAGTGATGATGTTGATGGGATCCCATATCTGAAATCAGAATTGGCTCATCGTTTTGAAATAAAGGATTTATGTGCATTAACTTATTTTTTAGGGATCGAAGTTGCTTCTTCTTCTAGAAGTTATCTTCTCTCTTAGTCTAAATATACTTTGGATGTTATTGAGCATGCTCGTCTTACTAATACTAAAACTGCTAATACTCCTCTTAAGTTCAATGCTCGATATTCACCCTCAAAAGGTTTACCCTTGGCCGATCCCATTTTGTATCGCACCATTGTTGGATGTCTGGTTTATCTTACCATTTCACGTCCCGAAATTGCTTATATTGTTCATATTGTTAGTCTGTTTGTTTCGACTCCTACTACAGTTCATTGGGCAGCTATTGTTCATATTTGCTATATCTTTCTGGTACTTGCTTTTAGAGTCTTTTATTTCCATCGATCTCATCTTTAGTGCTTTGTGCCTATTCTGATGCTGATTAGGCCAGTAACCCCACTGACCGCAAGTCCACTACTGGTTTTTGTATATTTTTTGGTGGTTCCCTTATCTCTTGGAAGAGTAAGAAATAGACTGTTGTTTCTCGTTCCTCTACTGGGGCAGAATATCGTGCTATGACATTCATTACTATTGAGATTGTGTAGTTGCGTTGATTACTTGCAGACATTGGTATTTTTTCATCATCTCCAACCCCTATATATTTTGATAATAAAAGTGTTATTCAGATTTCTTACAATTCTATGTTCCATGAGCGTACGAAACATATTGAAATTGACTGTCATCTGATTCGTCATTATCTGCAGACTGACACCATTTCTCTACATTTTGTTTCTTTATCATTACAGTTTGCTGACTTCTTTATGGAGTCTCATCTAGTTCATCATTTTCGTTTCTTGCTTGACAAACTCTCGCTACTTTTTGCTATAGCATCTTGAGTTTGAGGGGAATGTTAAATATAACATTATTGTAAAATATTTAGTTTCTATTTTTGTTTACTTTAGCTTGTAGTATATAAACTCATTGTAATTTATTTTGCCCTAATTTTTAGTGGCTCTTACAATTGGTTTTCTTCTTCCATCTCTTAGTTCTTCTCTCTTGTTTGATTGATCAAATTAGTTAGTATTATTCACCATCCCAAGCAACATGATAATATTGGACAATCCATCTTATTGATCAAGTTTTCTGTATAAAATAAAATATAAGCAATTCTGGTGAATCTAAACCAATTTTGAGGTTTTTCAATTTCTTTTACAAGAATTTTTTTAAAAATTCATTCGATTTCGGTTCGACCCCGTTGACGTTCAAGGCTTTACTTTTTTGGTTAAGGCTTGGACCGGTTATTAAATCGGCCCAAAACAAGGTAGAATGAGAGCCCATTATCTTGGGCCGAGATTTATACCCGGTTCGGGAATCTGAATTGTAGGGTTAATTACACATATTCATCTCTGCCTATTGCAAATTACCTAGGGTTACGGTTTCTCTGTAAAACAGGTTCCGAGTCAAAATTCGGATTGATATTTGGTTTCGACAGAACAATGAAGAAAGGCGGAGGAGTTTCAGAAGAAGCTAAAAAAGGAGGCAAGAAATTCAATGGCCCAGATTCGATCAAGTACAAAAAGAAGATGAAGAAGAAGAATATGCAGCGATTGGGAGGAGCAGGCCTCTCTCTCGAAGCATTCGCCAACGCCAAAACTAGGAACGACAATTACAACCCTGCCTTAATTAGTATGCACATCTCTCGAAGTGTTCAAATTTCTTTGTTTGACTGTCATTAGTGGAATTGAGCCTATTAAGTATTAGAATTGAAACTGAATTCGATGCTGGAAGAATTTGAGTAGATAAATTATGCTTCTTTTTTTTATCACTTATTCGAACTTTAAGTGATTTTTCCATTCAGGCCAATCTTTAATCTTATGGAAAAGACTTGACATAATAAAATTCGTTCAACTTAAGATTCAATTGAGATTATTAAAGACAAAACGTTGGAATGATGATTGACGGCATGACTTTAAATTTGTTTTGTTAATATACTGGTTCTCACGGAAATTATTACTAACTTTGTAAACCTGATTACCTGAGTATATCTGGAATATTATACGCCGACTTGGAGGAGTTCAAATCACAGTCTGAATCCTCCATGTAAATGCTAGATAGTTGATTGGATTCCCAACTGGTAGAATTTCAAGTAAACTGAGTCAAGAGCTAGCTTGACATGTTAAAGAAATGAGTCTAAATATGGATTTGTGTTAGTTAATTAATTGCATGAACAAAAGTGTCGTTTGCCAGCTTTTGTTTTAGTGATAGAAATGATAGAAAACATATTTTATGATTAATTAGTAGAGAAATATAATTATTTGGAGGAAGTTGGGGAAAGAGAGGCACTACTACAGCGTCTCAACCCCACTGGATTCTACCAGATATTTTGGTCACTGGACCATGTCAAGTTCAGCAACCAGATATTCTGCGCAATTGAGTGTATTTGTAGATTACGTAGGGAGTGAATTGGGGGAATGAGAGGGGGAGGTATTGTGATGGTTGCAGTGAGTAGTTGAGCAGAAGGAATTTCAAAAGACCAAAAACGTTGGTGGATTTAAAAACCATCAAAGATGGGCCTATAATTCAAGGGTTTATGTTGGATTGGAACCCGTCGTGGCCCTGGGAATCCAATTAAAAATGGAAGATTTGGGCTGTGGATTTGATATCCGCTCAGTTGAAATCTGTTGTTCCAAAAGTTCTCAGTTTCTTGCTCACTGAACCTAGTATGTATTGATACATTTTTAGTGTATTGCTTAAAGTGTTATTGATTTCTCCTTGTCAGAAAAGCAAAGGGAGTTCTACAAGAATGCTAAATATGTGCAAAAATTTAAGAGGTCATTAAAGCATCAAGAGAAGCAGAATGATCCCTCCACAATTGCAAGACCATTGGAGGTGTGAATCTATATCCTGGTTTTCATTAGGTTCTTATACTATTCTCATGTTATTCTTTGTTAAGCAATTTGGCAACCAATTGCTCAATCTATGTTGCAGTATGAAAGCCAATTTGTAACCCGCTGCAAAAAAAATTGTAACCAGTTTAATTGTATGCTGTGTGCTAAACCTGCTATGTAAATGCAGAACTCATATGTGAATAGGTTTCATTTGATCGGGAATAAATTGGTGCTGTTGCAGGATGAAAATGAAACTGAAGAAGATCGAAATGTTGAACAGAAGAACAAGAAAAGCAAGAAGAAATCCCAAAGTCTCGAAGAATTGTACAAGAAAAAGCACGAAGAGCAAGAGAAAGCTAGACTAGAAAGGGAAGCCATAATTCAGGCAGCGAAGGAAAAAAGAGAGAAAACGGATGCCAAAAGAAAAGCTTTGAAGGAGAAAATGTATAAGAAAACAAAGTCAGGTCAACCTGTTATGAAATACAGAATTGAGCATATGTTGGAAACAATTGAAAATTTAAACAAGGTAGTTGTCCTCTCTATTTTTTTTTTCCATCCTGTAATGCTTCTGCGTATTTGATCAGGGCTTTTCTGTGTCATTTCATTATTGTCGTAATACAATGTCATGGTTGCTGAAAATTTCCACAATCGGCGTAATGTATTTTTAATACGTGTAAAATATTAGACAATTGCCATTTTCAAGCGTTGATTGTTTTAGCTTTCTGCTGATTCCGGATTATTGTTCACTCATGGCAGGCAAACAAAGCAACAAGCAGCACATGAGGTACACGAGTTAGTTACAAGTTAGAATCAGAGGCAGCCCATGTGAACAGCAAGCAGAGCCGTATAAATGGAGAAAAAGTGGGTTCTAAGGGATTCATTTGTTGAAAATTTGAGTGTGTCGAGGGAAAGTAGCTATGCCTCTCGAAAGTTTGGCAATACTTTTGTAATTCAATTTCATTCACTTGTAATTTAAATTAAACGTGCAAGTTCAGTACTAAAAATTTCAATACAATTACAATCTAGAGATTGAGTTTAAGCTTGATTTGATTTCATAATAAGTTAATCTTAGATGAATGAATTTAGTTTGTAGAGAAAGTAGAGAAAACGTAGCTCGCACCATCAAGTAGGGACGAAAGTATACCATGGTGTCAAGTGGAAGTGCTGTTGCTCATCGGCATGAGTTTTTCTAAAGATGATATGTTGCTCTTTTTGTCAAGTGAAAAAATTGTTTATTCTGGAAGTGTTACCAAACGAGCTCTTGACCATAAATTTTTATGTTACTTGATTGTCAATCTACATAAAAGTTAAAAGACATCAGTCTTCATCCCTACCTTAAGCAATTGTCTGGGCCTTTTTGGTTTGTTAACCACAGGTTATATTTCATGTCTAAATCAATTGACTAGTTGGCCATAATTATCACATGCTTGTCAGAATCAATTTTTGCATAGCCACTGCTTTTTCTTTTCTGTAACCATTCTTGAGTAAATCTACTTGTTGCTATTTCTATGGATCCCACTTTTATACGTCTTTGTGAATCGTATCTGAATTCTGAAGGCCAAAGTGATTGTTAAGCCTCAAAGTACGAAGGACACTTAGAAGTATTGTACCATTTTCATCAGAATAAGAGGTATGATGCATTCCATTCCAAAAAATAATTGACTCTGTTATTCCATAACTTGGAAGCTCATAGTATTATCGATGGAAAATCACGCGAAGAAATCGGAGAACAACCATCGTTTGTATGGTGAAAACTTTGTCAGGGCTCTTTTGGTATAACCAGTTAGGTTGGACATTGCAATGGTGGATTGCAGATTAAGTCGTAACCATAAGAACATATTTGGTATGTCCGAATGGACACTACTCGACAATATTGAAGAAAACAGTATAATTCGAGTTGACTATGTTGTACAATACTATCTAACATTGTGTATTAAACATTTCATGAAAATATGAATTACCCTTTGGCTTTACACAGCTTGAGCTTGGGTATATTGCAAGCAAAAGCACAGCCTTTATGTGCCAAAATTTTAGGCCTCGTGGTAGAGAAATAGGTATAGGCTGCAATGTGGAGGAGTAGTCTCTTCCTTTGAACAATTTGAATTGGCATTTCAAAGTAAACAGCACCAACTTCCTAAGAAAGAGTAGGGCATGCACACACTATATGAACAATGTAGACTTGTAGCTATTCATCTTTTACCCAAAAAATATCCTTAAATCGTACATACTTTAATTAGGAGAGGTATTCAAGGTATTGCCGAGACGTGTCTAGTCTGACATACCAAAGACGCTCAAGTTTAAGTGGACACGAAAAATCACAAGAGGCTGAAGATGTTGAAAGCGTCGAAAATCTTCTACAACTCTTACAGTAAAGACATGCTTAATTAATATGAATATCAAGTACTTTTAATAAGGAAGAAGTTCCACAGGAGTTAGTTACCTAATGTGAGGAAGTAATCCCAGTAACGTTTTTCTTATCTACGGTCAACTCGTGACATCGTTAGCTAAAAGAAACATGTGAGACATTTGACAGTAGTAAAAAATATATCGTAGGTTGTAATGGTAGAGAAACATGAAACGTGGGAGAATCATGACCCAATTAAATGTTGGATGATTAAAATATTTTCCCAACTCAACTCTGCAAAGACAGAAATGCACGTAGCAGCTTTTGCATTTCACTTTTGTTGGGTCACTCACTACTCAGTGGTCAGCCTTTCTCTTTCCGGTTGTTGTGGACCATCTTCTCTTCAAAAATCCTTTTATCTTTTGGTTAGAAAAAGGAAGAATATTACTGGGTTTTTATTTTTATTTTTGTAGAATTTCTCTGCCCATTCAATGTGTTGAAAAGCTATTGCTTTTACCGAGTATACACTATACACAAGTACTGGCAGTTGTAATTCAAATGGCACATCAGGTGTTTGTTGAAAGGCGAGCATTAAAGTCGTCAACACACTGCTATCTCCCCGAATCTATCACATGACTCTGTCACTAGATGCCCTCTCTCTCTCTCTCTCTCTCTCTCTCACAGTCAAGTCACAAACCTGTGTACCTCATCTTTTCATATAGTAAAATGATAGGACGATGATGTACTAGAAAGCAAGAGTAATTTGTCAAGAACCACAATGTTAATTCTAACCAAACAATTGTTTCTTCCTCCAACGTAACGCAATACCCATTATATAACCTCTGTTTGTCTTTCATTCTTTCAGAACTTTTTTTTTATATATTTATTTTCAATTGCATTTACACAATAAAATATCTACACGTAAACCAAAAATTTCTCTCTACTTTTTAACCAAACATTTTCAAAAATTTCAATATTCAAAACAATATTTTTCAAAAAAGATGACCACCAGACAGGAGCTTAGTATTGCCTCAACGAAAGTAAAAAAGTCGTAAAGAGCAGAACATGGAGTAAAAAAGTCGTAAAGAGCAGAACATGGAATGCGAAAGAATAACCATATAAAATCAAATACAAGATTTTACAGAAAAGAACATGTTGATATCACAGTATTTTGTGAATTCTGTGAATGTTACTACTACCGAATACATATGCCAGAATGACAGAATCTAATAATACTGGGGGCAGCAATGTCAGATAGAAATCTAATGCACAATAAATTTTCAGGAAGTAGGGATTGGCTGATAATCAACAGACCGGGATCACCATAGAAAATCTTTGAATCTGGTAATAAGTTTTTTCCTCTTTGAGCCGCCCAGCCACAACTAGATGTATTTCGTGGAAAGTTTCTTCCTCTTCAACCAATCTGTTCAAGATGTGGAAATCGCAAATATAACCCTTTTTGTGCACAACAATCTACTGTTTATTGCCCAAAAAATCTGATAAATGTTGAATCCAGAAGATGAGCATTACTTGCTCTAAACAATATAAATCCGCACAAGTTTGCACATAGTATGCATAATAACTGACAAATGGCTCCTCATGGTACGTGCAGCATTAACAAGAGATTCAGCTCTTTATTGATAATTGATTGCAGTGAATAGCTCAGCCAAGTGTAAAATAGATGGCATTCGACCATCAAAACCCTGAATTGGCTTGTTCACCTTCCACCTCACTGCTATCAGATAAGGCGGTAGCCGAAATAAATGTAGAATGATTATTAATGCATAAAGCATCTACCTGGTACGCTGCATAGGATTTTCAATCACCATATCATTCTGTTGCTCGAGAAAGCCTTGAGGACACATGTTCGTCCATTGTCCAAACAAAACCAGGCATGTCAACCCTAGGTCCTGCAATGGTTCTGTATACATAAAGTTTCTCAACGGGACAGCTTTCTGGTCCTGAATCAGGGGGTCCTCTCTCATTAATCACTTCGACATTGAGCCTGGGCATCTTCTGACCTAGCAATTTGCATGCTCCAAAACTCACTGAACAAGAAGACATCCAAAGGGATCGCATTGTCTCCAGCTTTGTAGCATTGGCTAAGAGAGCCTTGTCCCCAAATGGACAGTCCCTAATCTCCAGTTTTCGTAGGCTTTCGCACCCAGACAACACATGATGGAGGCCCAAGTCACTATTCCCGGCAAAAGCTATTGAAAGCATCTCCAACTTCTTGGCATGGGTCCCAATATATTCGAAAACCCGATCAGTGAGGAGGCCAGACATGGAAAGCCGCCGTAATTCCTTACAGTTCTCTACTATGGCACCAAAGCCAGTATCAAGTGGTTCGAGGGTTAGGTAATCAGGAGCTCGAGGCTCGATAATACATAGTCGGAAGCGAATCATGTTAGGACGATTCCTTGCAATAGTAACTAATGCCGCATTTGACATCTGGCGGCAGAAGTATAGAACAGACTGGAGCTTCGGGCAACCCTCTGAGACAGCAACAAGCCCTTGTTCCGTCAAAGTTACATTTCCTTCTGCATCATAAGGATCTGAAGGAAACACCCTAAGTTCCTGCAAATCCTTACAAGAAGCGGCAAGTGCCTCAAGGCCCGTGTCTTCAATGTAATCTAGCACCTACACAGTCATATCTTGGTTAAGTTCAAGGTTGTAATGTAATAAAAGAACTCAGATTGTAAATGTCAAATTTCAAGTAGTACGGACAATCATAAAAATCCCAATCATAAAATCCGTCCAAAGGCAACATAGTAAGAGAGAATCAAATGCTAAAATTCAGAAACTGATGAATGTCTCCTGTTAATGAAGTATTTATATTTGGATCTCAAGTTCTTCTAAAGCAGCATGCAGCAAATTCCTTCTGACATCTCTCTATTAGGCATTGTAAAACTTATCGATGACATGACATTTAATAGAAGATCACGTACCCATAGCCGCTGTAAATTGCTACACTGGCTAACAAAATGAACAAGATCAGGGTTTTGAGCTGTAGCATAGCTTAAGTTCAGTGAAGTGATTCGAGAGCAGACTGAATACATGGCTGGAAGGTAAGCTGGAACCACATCCCAAAACCCGGACAAGCCCTTCAGTTGCTTGCAGCCTAGAAATGCTTCCGCCAGGTTTGAGAAGATATCAGACTGAATTTCAGCAAAATAGACACCTGTACCTAACTCAACCAACTGGGGGGCACAGTAGAGTAGGTTGGGGAGCTTCTCAAGGGGTACAGCACGATTCAGCCGTAGAGTTTTCAAATTAGGACTTCGAGCAACCAGACGCTCCAGCGCAGAGAAACTCACCTCGGAGACCAAGCAAGATATGTTAAGTGACACCAGGGAAGTGCAATTGTCGGGGAAATGGCTAAGCCAATGCCCACTCAGGTCCTCTACTTCACTCTCCCCTAAGTCTAATTCTCTAAGGTTCCTACATTGCAAAAAAGTCCCATCAATAATTAAATTAGTAAATGCCGAAAATTTATCATACATAAGAACAAAAAAGCACCTTCCAAAATTAATACTTGACCGGACCCTGTATCATTTGGTAAATTAAAAACTGAAAAAGCTTGCAACTCAAGACTTCACTAAGAGGTACCAAATGAGTAGGAAAGTCAACTGTTCCCATCATGTTAGATTATTCCACTTAAGTCATTGGAACTGAAAGCATGATTGCAGCTCAGATGACAGAACTTAGTGTTCCACCCAAAAATCGTAGTAATAAATCAGAGCCAGAACTTCATCGCAGATAAATCCTCAGCAGACAAATAGAACCTCATGGAAACTGTATTGTTCAATCATAGTTGCGCAAATTAAGAAAAGAGAATTTTATGTATGATTAGTTGTTAAAAAGATCAATTGGTCCAAAGGACAATCCAAGTCATAATATTCCAAGGAGAACCAACATAGTAAGTTTGTAACATCTTGCAAGATCCATGAGAAAAAAATGAAGTTCCATTTGCAACATATACATTTTGAATCAAAAAATCATAATAGCCTAGAGCATATTTTGAGTATATAACACAGTCAATGGAAGAAAATTTGAACCTAAGAGCAGGAATTATACCAAATCTTTCTTAATACGTTCCCCAGGTTTAGGGAAAATCTTTCAAATTTTATTTTTGATCTAGTATCAAGCTCATAAACAAAAAATCAAGGTCATATAAGAGCGAGATTCTTACTTTTTCAATCAGTCAATCGATGTAAAGAGTATGGATTCAAACTCCCCTTTTACTGTATACTTTTCACTAGCCAAGAAAACAAAAAACAAGAACAGTAGTATCTTTAAAATTCAATCTTGACTCTACCTCCTCAACCCGCTCAAAAATTCAAACTTTCCTTTTCCTTCGAGATTTACTTCGAAAATTAACAAAACTTTCTTCATCGTTTCCACAGAATTTCTTCCTAATTAGACAAGTTGACAATCGCACTTATTATATATCGAAATTAAATCTATGTTTTCTACCTGCAATTGGCAGCAATATATGCGAGTCCATCAGTTGTGAAACCTTCACAAGACAAGAGCACAAGCACTTTAAAATTCTTAAACGACTTGGATATCAGCTCCAAGCTCTCATCAGTCACCACCATCCTCTTCAGCTTGATTTCCTCGAGCCATGGGTAAGCCCTAGCCATGGAAACAACCCAGGGGTACACATATCCACCCCATCCTTCCGGCACCAGATTGAAGTCGGCAAAATGCGGCTTCCCCTTCAACTCCACCGCTCTCACATCCGGAAACCGCCGGATCAAGATCTCCGGACTCACTGCATAGCAGTTTCCGATGAAAATTCTCCTCCGACTTGACCTCTCAATATCGTACCACGACTTGCACACCAGAGAAACCGCATTCCGGTCCTTATCGCAGTTCAAAAACGAGAATACGTGCACAAGTACGTCCTCCGGGAAAGATTGAGCCATCGAAATCTCGTCGGTTACAGTGGAAATTCAGCTCAAATCCAGTCAGAGAAAGTAGAGAGAGAAAGAAAGGAGGAATGACTTGGAATGAAAGGGTTATTGTAGAGAAGATAAGGTTTTTTTAAGCTGTGATTGGGTGTTACCTTGTGTGAGGTTAGAATGTAACCAGGGTTTGAAATGACCAATAGGGAAATGAAACGTGTAGTTAAGTGAGGGCCAGGGGTCATCAGAAAAGAAAATTGCACTATTGGTCCACAAACTTATGTTTGTAGCAAGTTAGTATCTAATAATTACGATTGTGTAAATTGATCTCATTTTTTCTTACAGTTGTAGCATATCTCTTGTTCGTAGGATGGTAAGTCAAACTCGTCAAATAAATTTCAAAATTGTCAACGTGGAATCACATGGACCCGTCAATGACATACTTTTTAATCAAATTTGATGTTTTGGTTTGGTTTCAATTCCTTACATAAATAACCCTAATCTGAGAGTCATTAGACGATAAGTGCTTCCATACTTAATCATATACATTCACATCACACCATTAGTCACACCGTGCTTGGAAACCTTCAAAACAAAAATCTAAATTTGCACCAGAAAACCATACCCATTGATAATTAGTTTTTTAGTTCTCTAAAGATGATGATGAGATTCACTTGTGAACTCACAAAATTTGTGTTTTAGGTTAGTCCATTTTTTATCGATTGAGGAATGGCTTTTTCAAGGTGAATTGAGTGAAAAATTGCATTCTTATTAAATGGAATCAAATATAAAAATATGTTTTGCTTCTTAACTTTAATTGATGTCGAGAAATTTAAAGTAAATCGTGTTCTATTGACATGATAATTTATTTGGGCACGTCCTGTCATTTGGGAGTAACTGAGTAATTATACAATGGTGATAAAATATTAGTTACTAGTGTTTTGCCTTTTTAAAAGTTGGAAATTAATTTACTTTACAACGATAGATTGGGTACTAAAGGTGTTAATTTTCCTAATCCTGGTGCAATGAAGCGCAACCGCAGAAAAATGGGGTCCCCGAGACTTGCCGACCCGGATGAGAAAAAGCTGAGGCAATTTCTAAATTATCGTGATAAATTGGAGATATTAATCATAGGGATGAAATGCTGTAAGGGAATCTCATTATTCTAAATGCACGGCTGGATCTGATGGCTGAGATTTTGAAGGGACCACGTGGGGTCAGGATTAAAATTACTGCTACAGTAGGAATGATCTGATGTGATATGTATTAATTAATCAANGGTGGATTGGAACTCACAAAATCTTTATCCACCAATGAATTAATGTGTCAACTCATCGGTGCTTAGGATAAGATGAGCACCGGTGCTCATTAGATCATTTCTGTATATATATATATATAAAATAGAACCCAAACAAGAGTTTAGCATGATTCAGCTGGGATCTTCTTTAAATTAAGTACCTTATTAAAACTTCACTTCAATCACTAACACTATCTTCGACATCCCCTCTTTGTCGTTAAAGGTAACGACTTCCAGCATGATCAGTTCCCATAGTGTGAGTGGAGTTGTCTACGAGGCATATGAACGCATTGACTACTTGATGGTTGATTGGCGATTACCAACAATTTTGACTTCATACAGATGAGTTGCAGCCTACAATCCGAACTGAGAACATTTTTTAAGAGTTAGCTCACTCTTGTGTGATCGCGACATTTCGTCCTAATCACTATAGCACGTGTCAAATATATACTTTAATTCTTCCAAAGTTATCACACGAAATTGTTATCTCCGTTACACATGTAAAATTAGGACAAGCAATATTAACTTTTGATGCGATTTGTGTTACATTGTACGAAAGTAAATAAAATATGTTATGCACATCACAATGAGTGGTTTCATACTTAAAACAATTTGTCTCGACTCGTCGGCAAGTAAAATAATTAAATTGCGTGCTCAAGGAGCAAATCAGTGTGTTAATATTTCAATTATTGTATAAACAAGCAGTGTGGTGAGCTGTAATGCACGTAAAGTTAATTATTTTAGTGATTAAACACTTATTTTGATTGTAAAAATGAGATTAAATTAATGGGATTTGATAATCAAAGACCTCGCATGGATCGCCGGGAATCTCTCTTGCGATGGATTGTACTTTGCTGTGTATTTTCTACGAAATATTTATTTTAATGGATTTTTATTGTGAAATAAAATTATGAGATATATAAGAAATAATTAATATTTAGAAAAATAAATATAGTTTAATATATAAAAAAAGTACTTTTATAGTTACGTTATCAAGCAATCAATTTAAAGTTTTTTACAACATTTTTTTCTGATAGCTTATTCACAACCTTTCTAATTATAGCACGTGGACAGAAAACTAAGTTTGATTATATTAACTTTAAATACCTTTTAATTGCATAGCAGACAAAAAGAATAGTTCGACCAAGTTAACTTCCTTGGTGGGATAAAAACATGAACAAAGGACAATTTGTATCTCTAGTGAAACAAATTATGTTCGACTGGAAGAGAAAATGACACTTCGATATGTATTTATTACGTTGATAAACAATATTAAATGAGATCGAACAGTATTGTGAATAAGATTATAGTTCCAATGTAAAGTGATTTCTCTCTAATCTTAAGCTATCTATTTACGATTGAGTCGTTTTTCATACGAGCTTAAAAGTGTAATCTATATATTCTTTTATGTATTAATCAAAATCACTTTTAATCACATTTACAACTTTTCATGAATAGGGCCATCGAAACTTGGAAATGAATACATTCGCTAGCTTCAATAACACGTTGAATCCCATTGTCTAGAAATTTAACATTTAAATAGTATCGTTCTTTAATTTTATTGAATCGGATAATAATGAAATCTAAAATTCTCAAATTCATTCAAACAAGACAACAACATGAACCACAAATTTTCTAAAAGTTTGGTACCTTGGAAGATGAAAACTATAGATGATAAAAATTATTATATGTCGTAGGTAGTTGTTTTAATTATCCATGTTCCATGTGCATGCCCTAATGGGTAGGGTAGGCCGGTTCACAATCAAGATTCAAGAATGGTGGATTTGCAACCAAAAGTCTACATCTAAAAAGCAATCCTCTTTACTTAACTTTCCAATCTTGATGCACAAATTTGGTCAATTATTTGTTTGTACAATTTGGCACACGCAATCCATTATCGCATAAATCCTCCTTCTATTTGGACTCACGTTTTTGTTTATATATCTTTGGTACCCTTTTTCCATGTATTTGATGCATAATATAACAATTGTTGTTATATTTTTTTGTAGAAAAAACTTTTGTTGCCCCAAGTGGTAACTAGATTGTCGAGAGTTGAAAAGCCAGCAACTTGTTACGAGTATGTTGTGGCTTGAAAATTTAATCCCTCTTCGAGAGACAGAAGAGGTCATTATGATTACTCAGAATAAATGAGGTGGAAGCTTTTTGGCTTGTGAGTTTTCATTTCAGGTGGAGAACTAATGTTCGATGTCTCGTCATGTTAGCATTTAACGTCCGAAGACATGAAGTACAAACGATGAATTTGATATCCAAATTTTTTTTTTTAAATGTATTTATCTCATTCCATAAACGAACCAAACATATTATTATTTCTCCAAAAGAATCCCTTAATATATACATGATATATATGAATATATCATGTGTTATGTCCTAAGTGTACATCAAATCAACACACATCTTTAGTTGGTGTTTGATTCTCCAACTTGTTTATTTTTTCTTGATTTGTTCTAACTTTTGGTTTTTTGCCCAATCTTATCCTTTGTAAGAAGATAATATTTTGATGGGGCGGCTAAATCTTTTGATTAATGTTTCTTTTGCAAAAAATTACGTTAGTTGGCAATTAAGGCATGTACCAACATATTTTGATGGCTTGATAAATTAATGCTTGGACCTACTAAGCTTTATTTTTGTATTTTTTATTTCAATTTTATATTAGAGCACACGAAATAAACTTGACGGAATGACATCAAAAGATTCACGTAATTGTTTCTAAATACAATAAAAATGAAATCTCGAGTAATCGAGCGACTTCTACTATTTTTTCATTTTTGAGTAAGCAATTTTAAATATTTTGTAGATTTGTATTTTTATGGAGTCTTCAAGATAGAATATATCCGGAGATTAAAAAGTACATCTCCAAAAAAGATAATAAGAAAGAAAAAGAAAAAGGTATAGATAGTGACTCATGACCATATACCAAGTGATTTAATGAGTCAATCAATCAATATATATATGGAGACCCCAATAGAGTAAATATTTTTGGACCGACTAATCATTAGAAAATCAATTTTTTTTTTTTTTTTAAAATTTTGGGTCACTATCGCTTGATGATATTCGAGTATTTCTCTCAATTAAGCTTTATTTCTAATAACTCAGTTACGAGAGGTATCTAACGTCATTCGAGTCTCAAAATACGTTTGATGTTCTTCTAGAGAAGTAAAAGACGTCCCCTTGAATAAGAAGTAAAAGAAACTTCCGAGGAATATTACTAAGGTTAATCCATTTTCGCATAATGGGTTGTACATAATGGATTACTTTCTCACATAATGTGCGGGACCCGCGTGTATTTAAAAAATTCGACAATGTGGTCTCTATTCTCATTGTGAGCAGTAAATCAAAAATTCGGTACATATAGCATGATCTATATTACAATAGGATTCGATTTATCCTTATACAAACACTACCAAAACATGAGAAATAAAAGAATAAATTAGTGAATAGAACTGGACCAATTAGTGGGGGCCCATAAAAGAAATACCTGACAATGGGCCCAGTGGCCTTCTACTGGGCCTGCAGTGTCCAATCAAACTTTTTTCTGTTACGTCGCTATCTCTGTGTAATGTGTGTTGACCTAAAAGTGGAAAGTTTGCATGCTCGATTGATATGACTTAATGATCACCGACAAACACGCCCTTAGCATTATCCTTTGTGCTTGCGTGTCAACACCTTATTTGCTCACTCCTCGCTATTCTCCTAATCCATTCATTTACAATCTCCATTCTTGATGGTCGTTAGGCTCTGTTTGTTTTATCCCTTTTGTCAAAAACGAACTTGTTTCGTTCAATTATAGAACTATGAAGTTTAGTAGGGCCTTTCTGTCCAATGCCAATGCAAGTAGTTTGAATTATATACATCCTTATTTATCAACTCTCTCTCCGAACAGTGTCCGAATTTGCTACGCATTAAACAATACAACAAAACAATCTAGCGTATCATGAAGAAGCAATTCCCCTTGTACAAGGGCATTTTTGCCAGAATGGCTACAGGTGCTGCGCTGACAGTACTTGGTTGGCAAATTTATTTATTTTATTTCCTTTTTTGTTAACTCTCAATGAAAATTTGAAAAACACTACTCTTGCATAAACCCTGTCACAATTTCCCTGTAAGTGTAGCAACTCTCATCGTGAAGAGATAAACTTACAAAGACCAACTACATCAAAATTGTCAACCAACGAATATTGTCAATGAGACACGTGACATATTTTCGACTCTCTTAACCATTCATCGTCTAACGCTATCTTAATGTCACGTTCTTCAACTCATGTCAAAAACCAAGTTTTATTGTAAATTTGTAATATGGTTTGAATTTAAGAGTCACAATCTTATGCCTATATTCATAGGTACTAACTATTTCATCAAATTTATACTTTTTAGAATTAAACAATTATTACAAATGATCAAAAGAAATGTTATAATTAACCTAATCCATGAAAAAAAGTCTAGATTAATGCAATTATATCTAATAATTGTAATGAAATAGTGTAATTCACATGTTAAATCTTCATCAAACTAAAAGCAAGCATTGTTCACAAGACAATTACATGATTACAACGATGTTATTGCAATTTAGAAAATGGAATCTCAGTACTAGAAGTGGAGTAGAAATAATCATCACAAATTCCATAAAAAAATGGTCCAATCATGTGAATTTTGTCAATATGTGTAGGCATGCGCCATCTTAGTTCTAGAATATTCATCAAAACTAGACTACATTATTCAACAACGCAACATTGCTTAATGCTTTATCATGCTTCATTTACTTAACTTTTATTATTCATTGAATTTGAAAAGGGAAAAAAGTTGAGTTTGGATGTGCTTTTATTTGATATCTAAGTTCATCTTACTAAAATCTAGCTGTTAACGTTGAAAAAGTACCAACCTAGCACGAACAAAAATAGGAAGTCTCTTCATTCGCTACTCTTTTTACACTAGAAATGATGAAATCATAGACACGTCATGAGGTAGCTGACTATTATAGAAACACCATGTCCATTTTTTTTTTCCCCAAAATTTACAGAAGTCTGCTATGAAGTTTGAAGTCCTGTTGAATTCAGACCTACCATCAGCTCTTGGTGTTATATATGTATCAAAGACTGAAAGGTTTAGAAGTTAGGTTAAGTAGAATTGCAGATTCTAAGAATGTATATTGAGTGTATGCAAGGGTTGAATCCTAGATGGGAGTGTTAGATGAGGCGTGAGTACAAATATGTCCATTTTTAAGGTTGTGAAATAAACAAGTTCTTGCATTCTTGCAAGTTTACTGTCTGTCACACTTGTTTACTTGCAGTTTTCTCACTTCACCAAAGGATTGTTTTGGACAATGGGACCAGGAGGGGCGGGGCGGGACCGGGCAGACCAGGACCTGGACCTGGAAGGCCTGGCTGGGGTCCTGGACCTATGGTACCGGGTTTTTTTCCTGGTCCAGGTTGGTTCTTTGGTGGGTGTTTTGATGGAATATGCTCGGTGATTTCTTCTTGGTTAGTAGACTCTTGACTACAGTGTTATTATATCCATAGCATTGATTTTTTTATTTTTTCCAGATTTAAAGCTGCAGATGAATTCTTACATGGACCTGATTAAAATTTACACTTTGCAGCTTATCTTGTCTCTGCTGTTGTTGGTTGCCACAAGACTGTTTTGGCGGGCCTCGACCTTTCGGCCCTCCTCCCTTCTAACGGAAATTCAGATAAACTTCCTGCATTTCCAGCTGTGTAATAAATCTATAAACTTCAATCAATAAAAGAATTCGACTCGTGTTCTGATATCCGTATTGCATTGGATGGTTAGCTTCAATCATTTCTGCATTTTAGACTTGTTTTCCAACAATCCATACGCTAGGCAGAATATGCAATCTAAGGGCTAAGGCCCCTCTAGTATTGCTTTAGTGACTGTCTGGATAGTTTTCTCAAAGTATTTTTTCTACTTAAAAAGCTATTAAAAGAAGCTGGCCTAAGATGACTTTCTCGAGAAAGTCTTTAATAAATAGCAGAAGTTATTCAAACCGAGCCCTAATATGTACAGAGAAATAGAAAACAAGAACCACTTAACAACACAAAAAGAAAAGGCATGCAAAAGCCATAAAACAGAAGGGATCCCCAGAGCATTACTATTGCTATAATCATGCTCATGATATGGCGCCTCTGAACAATCTCCCGTGCACATGACAGATTCAACTAAGAAGTCAGAACCTAACATCAGAAATTTTTTGAGGAATCAATGCTCCTCTTAAGGCACCATCAGTTTCGTAATTCACAATGAAGGCCTGAAGTCATCTGATAAACATTATTAGTCGACAAGTGTTTAGGACTATCAAATGGCACAGGGTCTTGTTCAGCATTAGACTTTTAAGGTGTGTTTGGTACGACGGACTCAACGGTACTAAACAATGTTAATGAAGGAGTAAAATCTTGTTCATTGTACTGCCCAATCCTATCTTATATTGCATATACTCTCGTGGTATTACTTCCAATGAAACAATGAACGAACTAGGAATCGACCAGATATGAAAAGATTACAGTTCTTCACATAAGATCTCTCTCTGCTCAAGTAATTTGTCAATGCATTTCAGTAGCACCAAGAAGTTGCTACTCGTGTAAAAATAAAAATAAAAAAGTAAAAACAATCCACATGGTATCCCATAAACTTTATTATGAACAAATAAAAACTTGCGAACAATTAACTTAGTTTTCAATAGCAAATAATTGCACCCACATAATTGGAACAATAAACACCTCCATTAAATTTGAATAAATTTTGTGAATTTCAATGTCTAGACACGACGTGATCAAAATATGGCATAAGTGAGTTAGCACAGCACCTGATGTCATTCACAAGCAGCTCTGGTGTCAAAACTGCTGAGACAAATGGCAAATGCCTGGAAAGCGGAGATTGGGTACTGATAGTCCATTGCGAAAACGTCCTTTCCCACTTTTCCAAATTGGAGAATAACATCCTCGTGCTCTTGCCCACCGGCTCCACTCTCAACAGAAGCAACCAGCTGAAAGTTCTTCACAGAAGCGACCGTTACACGTCCATTGAAGTTGAGACACCAGCACTGGAGTTGTTCATGCCATCTAGGATTCTTGTTTTTCAAAATTAGTACATCAACTTTCAATGTCGATAATACAGATTGAAAACTACCCATGGAAGTTGATTTTGATCTGAAAAATGGGATGGACAGAAAGGAATCTAGGTTGCCAAGCAGCAAATCAGTTTGTACAGGAACTACGCCTCCGGGTTCAATTGCAGAACCAGGTATAGCATCCATGATGCACTGCATTCGCCTTGGACCCCTATACCCACATTATGTTAGCAAAGAAAAAAAAAACTGAACAAGGACCTCATCAGTGTTTAACATAGACAAATGTGGGAACATATGTTTGGCAAATAATTCACTTTCTTATAAGCTTTATCCCTCACCTAGCACCCAAGATGTTCAACTCATATGAAATATGGGCCACAGGATAGTTGCCAGAAGGGACCCGGGGAAAGACTTGTTTCATTCCACTTAACCTAGTAGAACGAGATTTAGTAACTTTAGCTCCTGCATTTGGGGGCTGTGCATCATAGATTGTGAACTTGGTCCCCAAAAAATTAGATCTGTAATCGAGGATCACGAGGAAATTTCAATCTGAAATGAGGTTTAGAAAGCATTAAAGTCATATGCAATCCAAATTTACCTTAACTTTCCGACGTAGAACGTGCTATCTTTTGATGCATCTTTAGCATTTAGAGATATTAAGTATTCTGTATATGTTGTGTATCTACATCTTTGAGCAGAAAGAAGGAACTTCCCATCATCATTAGCAGCTGTCGAAAAATTACTTTTTGTTACATTTGAAAATTAGGAAAAGGAAACAACGGTGCATGATTTAATATTAAGCTACTACATCTGATATGTCTACATCCAAAAAAAAATTAGTTGTGAAATAGAATCCATTGAAGTAGATGATGTATCTTCACCTTGATTCAAATTGAGGTAAAGGTGATACGTCTGTGTAACACGATTCCGTTTGATGAAACACTGAATTAGGGTGTTTCTTGGACCAGGCTACAGAAATAACAATCAAAGATGTTTCAATATAATATAAAAATAAGGAAAGAACGACAAACAATATGCATCTGTTAATGAAGTCCTAGAAAAGAATACAACTCGATGTAAACTCCAGTTTCATTTAAGTCTATCAAATGATTTTCCCTAGAGGAAACAAATTATTACATTGAATTCCAAATAAAATAACAAAAGTGTTGAAATGGAAACAGATGACCCAAAGCAAGCGTCCTATCGAAGTCAATTATAATCTTTAAAATTATCTGAATCGAGACACTGCAACAATTTGCTGGGCTGTTTTTTAGGGCGATAATGTTGATTAAAACCTTCAAAAGGATATTTGCACACAACAGGCTGTGAATCATCTGATTCTAGCAAAAGCGGATTCCACTTCAAATATACAGCGAGCGAGTTTACGAACTCCTCCTCTCACATTTTCACGACAATGACTGACCCGCAAAAGAACATGTGTAGATAATTTATTAGATGCTAATTAGATTTTAGATTCAAATAGTATAAAAATGACATGTTTCCAAACAGAGGTATTCATAACGAAAGCAGCAATGCACTGTTATTGATGGCAGTGGCAAAAGTTAAATGCTACGAATAGTAGACTGAAATGTACGATACATATGCTATTTGACAGTTGGGCCTCTCATAAAAGAATGTACATATATAGTATTGGATGAAATTTGACCTTACTATTATCATGATTTAAACTTCTTTTTCTTATATCATATACTATCAAGTTTTGTCTAGTACAATGCACCAAACATGCACTAAATGGCAATATATATGTTCAAGTCACGCATGCAGAAGATGTGCTCAGTCGTCAACTTAGAGAAAATCAGGAAATAAAATGGTTTCTGACTTCCACGCAACAAGGCCATGCCTATAATAAAAGGCATTATAGTGTGATTTGCCTAGCCAGTTGATTCTTGGCTATATACCCAGATGGAAAAATGACCACATGAGTTGTTGTCTCTGTTTCTCCAGAACTGACTGCGCTGAGATAAGATTAATAAATGCTAAAGCCAGAGATTAAATGTGTGCAAAAGAATTTAGACGAAAATCTTGTCTAGAGACTAGAATAATTTTAAAATGCATTCAGGAGAGATCTGTGGGACATTTGGCTTCACAACAAAATGATATAACTTCAAGTGGAATTACTAGCAACTTTGATGCTTTATCTTTTTTTACAGTATGTCAGACATCTATATAAAAAAAGGACTTTTTTCGTCAAGTAGCGGGGAACATTTTTATAATCAAAACCTTGAAATATCTTTGTTCCAAATTCCCATGCACACAAATTGCTTGGGAAAGTAGCATTATCCCCCTCGTAAGTACAAACATATAACAAATACTTTACTAAAAACCATGGGTACCGTAACCCACAATTTGTTACTATCTTGATCTCATTGGATTGTGATCTATGCACCCTCATAATTTTGCTAGTAATGGACAATTATTATTATTATATCCCAACCATAATTACTAAACTCATAAGAAATCGTGAACATCTGTACTAGAGTCGCATCAATACATGTAATTGATATAGGTTTCAGCTAAATTATTAATATGATGAAGCAAACTAAAATTCTTAACGATCACGAACCTGTTTCAGGGCAATGGGGAATGTCAACTTGCCGGAGACTTCTAGGGTTCCGGCAATTTCCTTCGTGATTTCTCTCCAACTCCTACAAACACCCGCACAAGCAACCACATTCCTTCTCTGGGGCCAATTACACCCCGATTCCTCGACCCTCATCAGAATATCCCTCAAGAGCTCCAAAGGTAAAATGGCACAACAATTCTGATTCAAACTATCCTTGGAAGTAATTGAACTAGCCAGACAATTCTGTTTCAAACTATCCTTGGCAGTAATTGAACTAGCCTGAATCGACTGCTCTAAACCATCATAAAACTTCAATTCAGACCCTGTCCACGACAGATTCCCAATCCCCATACCCTGAATTATACTCCTGAATAACATAATTAACCAACAACTATATGAAATCGAAACAAATAATTCTAAACGAGATTAAATTCATTTATGATTAATCAACAAAACCCACTACAGATAAACACTAAAGATTCAATCTTTGATTGAAATCTCCAACCAACTATACGAAATCTAAACAAATAATTTCAATAGAGATATTATTCAATTATGAATAATCAACAAAACCCACTACAGATAAACCCTAAAGATTTAATCTTTGATAGAAATTTCACTAACCCATCAACACAAATTTTTAAAAAAATAAAAAACTTCTCCAATAATATACCTTTTATACCCAGGAGATTGAAAAGAACAGAGACAGAGTGAAGGATTTACGTGTTATGGACTGTTTATTTATTACTCCACTTTGAGCAAGTCTCCCTCCACAAAATAAAATTCTTTAATTTTGGTCATTACTCATTTTCAATCACAATAAATTATTTAAAACGTCACTATTCAAAATTTTTTTTTTTCTCAATAATGGAATTGAGCCCTTGAAAAAGATTGTTTGAGAATTGATTTTTTAAAACTATACAAACAAAAAAATTAAAAATTGTGAGAATACAGGATTTTTTTTTTTTAAATATGTGATTGAAAGTGGAAGTGACAAAAATGGATTTAAAAAATATATATACTTCCGTACAAGCATGCAAATTGTTACACCTCGCCTTCGAGACTTAAAGAAAAAGTGCCTCGTGACAAGTCACGTATGCAGAAAGTCAAACAAAGACTATGAGGTCAAAAATCGAGGTCCTTGCTCTACAAGCCGAAGTACTTGCAGATGCACTGCCTAAAGAAGCAAAGAAAGGAGTTGAAGCTCTCAACTTAAAGAACCGCCTCAAAAGATCTCTCTGAGGCTCTCAAACTCGTTTGAAGCTCATGAATCCGACGATATCTCTTGCAATAGATTTGAAGATCTATTAGAAGTAATTGATGTAACACTTGTAATAAAGTTTGTCAGTATGTCAGCCTATTGTATAGGGCAACCGACCTTTTATCAATGTATTAATCGTATGAATAGATAGTGATGTGAAGCCTTAGTTAGGGAGATTAGGCCTCGTGGTTCCAATCCAACGGTCACCACATTGCCCAATACACAATAAATAGGTCATCTTTGTAATTAAGGGGAGAGGTTGGGTCATTGATGGAAAAATGAACAATCATATATTCAAATATACGCTTGAACTTTTGAAGAAAATATATGAACATTTCATCTATCCTTCCACATATTTTTGTTTGTTATTACATAGATTAGTTTGGTTTCAACCCGAGCAATCGTTGTTAGTGCGATTGCTTTTGTTCCACCCGTCGGAACTCGAACATTTTTGTCTCTCGTCGCAAAGTACCTCCCGCGTCCATTCCTTCATTGCTACCGCTATTACTCCGGTAGAAACGCGTCGGAATCGTACTTGACTTGGCAAGAGTGGGCCCGACATCTATTGATTCATTTTTTGGGGTCAACGGATTGACGCCGTCTGTGGAAATCCATACATTTAACCACGAGAGTCCCCTAGAAAGAAGCCAGTTGGAAGTAAATTGAGAATAATTGGCTTTAAATAGGATGACCCCTAAAAAGGGAGGTCGCTGAAGAAGCGGATGACCCTCTAAAAAGGGGAAGCTATTGAAGAAGTAGCTTTAAATAAGATGACCCCCTGAAAATGGAAGGGCGCTGAAGAAGCGGATGATCCCCTGAAAGGACAAGGCCGCTGAAGAAGCAGATGACCCTTTGAAAAGGGGAAACCACTGAAGAAGTGACTTTAAATAAGATGACCCCTTGAAAAGAGGAGGTCGTTGAAGAAGCGGATGACCCCATAAAAAAGGGAGGTCGCTGAAAAAGCGGATGACCCCTTGAATAGGGGAGGTCGCTGAAAAAGCGAATGACCCCTTGAATAGGGGAGGCCACTGAAGAAGTGGCTTTAAATAAGATGACCCCCTAAAAAGGGGAGGTCGCTGAAGAAGCGGATAATCCCCTGAAAGGGGGAGGCCGCTGAAGAAGCAGATGACCCCTTGAAAAGGGGAGGCCACTAAAGAAACGACTTAGAAGAGGATGACCCCTGAAATTGAGAGGTCGTTGATGTGGCTTTGAATAGGAAGGTCCCCTGAAAAGGACACCTACAAAGAAGTGGTTACGTGTGAATTAAAAGGCCTCATTCTTGAACCATGTGACTTTGCCTCTACAAAAATATTTCATCTACTTTAAATGCAAGGGCCACATCCTTACCTATGTTTCAGCATGCAAGGGCCTCATCATTGCCTATGCTTTAGCACTTTAGCATGAGGGCTTCATCCTTGCCTATGCTTCAGCAATTCAACATGCAGGGGTATCATCCTTGCCTATGATTCAGCATGCAAGAGCCTCATCCATGCCTATGCTTCAGTATATAAGGGCCTCATCCTTGCCTATACTTCAGCAATTCAGCATGAGAGCCTCATCCTTGCTATGCTTATACTTCAGCATGCAAGCGCCTCATCCTTGCCTATGCTTTAGCACTTTAGCATGAGGGCGTCATCCTTGCTTATGCTTCAGCACTTCAGCATGCAAGGGCCTTATCCTTGCCTATGCTTCAGTAATTCAGCATGCAAGGGCATCATCCTCGCCTATGCTTCAGCAATTCAGCATGAGAGTCTCATCCTTACCTATGCTTCAGCAATTCAGCATGCAATGGCTTCATCATTGGCTATGCTTTAGCACTTTAGCATGATGGCGTCATCCTTGCCTATGCTTCAGCACTTCAGCATGTGAGAGCCTCATTCTTGCTTGTGCTTCAGTAATTCAGCATGCAAGGGCCTCATCTTTGCTATGCTTCAGCAATTCAGCATGCAAAGACCTCATCCTTGCCTATGCTTCAGCATACAAGGGCATCATCCTTGCCTATGTTTCAGCACTTCAGCATGTAATGATCTCATCATTGCCTATACTTCAGCATGCAAGGACTTCATCATTGCCTATGCTTCAGCATGTAAGGGACTCATCCTTGAATAAAGGAAGAGGCGATCTCTTGAAGTCCTCATTCCTTGAATAAAGGAAGAAGCGCCATTATCTTGGAGTCCTCATTCAGGAAACAAATTTCGCAATCTGAGAAATTAAATTTGCACAAACGCATAAAAAATAAAAGAACCTCCTAATGAGAAAGACTCATAGGGGAAGCCTCTTCATAGATGATCTGTCCCTATGAAGAGACACGTGGGCACTTCGACAAGGAGCTGGATCCCAAAGAGAACCACATCTGCACTCGTGAAGTGTGGCACATGCCCTTAACAATAAAGTTGTTAAGGATGCCTCCGCATGGGCGAACCGCTCAACCTCATGCTCAGAAAAGTTATTGACTATGTAAAGTTAAAAATAAAAGAACATCCTATTGAGAAAGACTCATAGAAGAAGCCTCTTCATAGATGATCTGTCCTTATGAAGATACGCAAGCTTATCAAAAAATAAAAGAACCTCCTAATGAGAAAAACTCATAAGGGGAGCCTCTTCATAGATTATCCGTCCCTATGAAGAGATGCAAGCTTATCAAAAACAAAAGAACCTTCTAATGAGAAAGACTCATAGGGGAAGCCTCTTCATAAATGATATGTCCCTATGAAGAGACGCACGAGAACTTCGACTAGAAGTTGGGTCCCAAAGAGGATCACATCTGCACTCAACGAAGTGTGGCACGTACCTTTAACAACTAAAGTTGTTAGGAAAGCCGTAGCATGAGAGAACCACTCAACCCATGTGAAGGAAAGTGGAAGGCAAAGCGAACTACCTCAAGTACTAAAGAGCCTCAACTCACACACATCAATGTACTTAAATCCAGAAACTTACAAAGTTCAGCTAGTGCTTCAGATATATACAACTTCAGATGTTACAACTTTGGAATTACTATACCTCAAGTACCCCCTTCCCAGAATTGTTCCAGGAGGTGAAGTATTACCAAGTAAACCACTTGGACAACACCTACAGAGAGGGTTTGCACAAGTCAGGTACATTTTAAATGAAATACACCCCCTACAAAAATTTTATTCAAATCCATGTATTACATAAATAATCATGCCTAGACTTGGAGGATTGTTGTTACACCTCGCATTCGAGGCTCAAAGAAAAAGTGCTTCATGACAAGCCACGTAGGCAGAAAGTCAAACAAAGACCCATGAGGTCAAAAATCAAGGTCTTTGCTCTACAAGTCGAAGTACTTGCTGATGCACTGCCTAAAGAAGCAAAGAAATGAGTTGAAGCTCTCCACTTAGAGAACCACCTCAAAAGATCTTTCCGAGGCTCTCAAACTCGTCTGAAGCTCATGAAGTCGACGATGTCTCTTGTAATAGATT